AAAAATCTTAGTTCGAACGCCAAAATGCCGCTGAAATACTGTGGTTCCGTGAAAACTTTAACATAAGCAAAATTTTAGATTTCTCTGGAAATAAAACTATATGAAAAGAAAATAACTATTTTCTCAATTTTTGAAAAACTACCTAGAACTTATAATACTTACAATAAGTTCATACCTATTCAAAAATTTCGTGTGTATTACTAAAAAGAATAACGAACAGTAAATTAAAGAGAGCTGCCTATTTATTCAATTATAGTGTGAGGATTCTTTGATTTGATTAGCCCACCAGCGGCCGAGCGGTAAAGTCGCTGAACACTGGTAGTTCGGTCCGAGGTTCGAATCCCGCGAACGGGCTGGCTGCATGGGCGTTTTCGTGGTTTTCCCCATGTGTAACGTGTATACCAGCCAGTTTCCCTTAGAAAGTCCTCCACGAAGGCATCCCTTCTCTTAGGCAGATAGCCCTCGAGGCTTTGCCATACTCACACACACACACACTTTGATTTGATTATGTTTAATTAATCAATGTTTTTTGTATTACTTTTACTCCATTTAAAAGTGACTCATAATATTCAGTGATCACAGGCTTTTAACTAAGCAGAGTGAAAGGCCTTTTAACAAATCCTTGAATGATGCAGACTTAAAAGTAATACTTCGAATTTTTTTGTTAAAATTTAGCTAAATTAGAGTTGAATGAAGCGTGCTTTTAAGCAAAACTAAATAATTAACACACATTTTTACATTCGTACCGTACCCGTCTTTCAAACAAGCGCATGAGTGAATATGCCTTAAATTTCAAACCTTTAGAACTGAAACTCATGAATGCCTATAAATACTGGTGTGAATTTTATAAAACGTACTAATCAAATAGTTAAATACATAACTATTAACTTTCCATTGCTATAAAATAAAGTAGTGAATAAATATGCATTATTTAAGTGGTTTGTAGAGTTATTAGGGCTTTTTTTTATTGGGAGACATGAAATACGAGCAATGCCCTTACCTCGACTCGGACCTAGGTCTCTCGAATACGCGCCAAATGTGGTACCGTTACACCCCAAAGGCATGCTGATAGGAGGGAAAAAAATAGGTTCGTTGCTATAGTTTTCAAATTTCATCAGTTTTTTGCGTGTTGTACGAAAGTTTACCCAGTATATTTTATTATCATGTGATTTGGTAACAAACAAAGTAATATAAACAAAAATCTTTATATTTAAAAAATATCTATTATACTTCTTTCAAATCACATATGCATTGTTATATACCTGAATTTTCTGAATCAATACTGGTAAGGCTGCTGAATGATAACTAAAGTTAACGATTGCTAACACATGCTAACTTTTATCTATGAGATAAAGTCTACTTGTAATAAAAAATTCAGATTTATTCTTTTGATTTCACGCAGTTGATATCTACTACTCGCAGTCAAAAACCGAGGCGAGGGTAAGCTTAACTTTGCTCATTCATGTTTATATTGAGCAGTTCATTGTAAAGCTATTCCTCTGACTCGCCAGATTTGGCACCTGGATTAGTTTTCTATTCCCTAAAGGGAAATTTCACCTTAAAAAGCACAATTCTGAGAGCTTTTAGGAAATTTAGTGAAACCTAATTAAGATACCAAATACTTCAAATACTCAATGCCTCAGTGGAATTAAAAAATAATTCTCTAAGATCGTGCCAAGTGATTTCTTATAATTTTGAGGGTGCATTAATCATATATCAGTGTTGTGAAGAAGTTTCTAGAAATAAATGCGAAAATAACTCTCATAATTACGAAAGAAAAAAATATTAGAAAATAAAGTTTTGTATAAAAAAGTTCCAAATATTTATTTAAATGTTACTATGATTAAAACCAAACAATTCTGAACGGAACATATGTCTCTAGAAAAATCTTTTATTAACAAAATAATGCTATAAATTATCATAAAAGTTAATAATATGATGTTTTATACAAAATAAAGGTATTTTAAGTTATATCAGTCAAATGTATTACTGAAACATAAAGTAAATATTTAAAAGATTAAGAAATATGTTTATTGCTTTTAAATATCTCAAGTTATTAAGCAATTGCCCACTGATTAAACTTAAAGATAAATTAAAGATCTAATGTTTTGTTGAACAGTAACATTCTGAAAACTCTGCATTTATGAAACTGCGCAGATAATAAAATTAAAGGTCTCATGTCATCATGAGAATAAATATATGGTATCGTAATATAACGATCTCAGATATTTTGGAACGATTCCGCTAAAGACTAACATCAAATTCTATCGCAGCTTCACGTAAGCTACTAGACAGAAATGAAACTCAAATCAAGAACCACGAAATATCAATCTCTTACGAAGAATATACGAATATTTATATTTTACACCAGCGCTTCCATAGTATACTGCTATTCCAAATGCCACTGTTGTCGATATAAAGCCTCTGTTACACATAAATAACGCGCCAAACAAACTGCAAAACAAACAAAAAATGTCTTCAAGCGACAAAGAGTTTTGTCTTAATAAGGCCTTCTTAAACTAACCTTGATAACAGTTTGTAATATGACATGTTTAAAAAGAAACCTGTGTCCATGAGAAAAAAAACACCATCATGATCAAAGAGTTTAATTTTTAATTTTACAAAGTGCCCCCCCAGGACAAATTTCATGAAACTCCTACCTAACATGGATATTATTATGTAAATAAACATATGTAGAAAATAAGATCTAATTTGCATGTAAATGTGTATATTCGACCGCAGCAGCATTAAAATTAGAAATTAGTAAGTAAATCGTAACTATAATATGTTTCTAACGTAATAATATATCATATTCTTTAATATAAAATCTTTGATTTAATATATTTGTCATTTTAAAATTTTTAACAAATGAGTAATGCAATTTAAAATGTTTTTAGTTTATATTACATCTAGTTGATATGTATAAATATATCTAGCTTTATTAATCAATAAAAGCTGATTCTAATTTTATATTTGGTTCCCCAGTACAAAGTCATAATATAACAAAGTTATAATTTGCTAGTCGAAGTGCATAAAAACAGTGTTTGAAGCTCTTTAATAAGTGTATGTAATTTTTCTTATGCTGTATAAATATTCGATTCCCCCCCTTTAAGTAAACACACAATGCGAGCATCTTGTAAAGCGAGTTCGGGCGGATTCCCTCTTCTCAGCACGTTATAACAAGGTTTCATAATAAATTCGCAGCTTTTAGAGCTATAAAAATGATTAGAATTCGCGTCCACACTTTCTGATGTATACCTGTTTACCATGCAGACACACGCACATTCTTCTTCACCCCTGTGTTCTATTAATAATATTCTAATTAAAGAGTAAACAAGAATTAAATAATTATAATAGCAAATATGGATTAATTTACATTAATATCAGTATGAAATCACGTATTTTTCATGTTTAATACATTGGCAAGCGAATGAGCCTTCATCTGTTTTATTCAAATATTATAAAAGTGCAAGAAAACTACTTTTCAGTATGAAATTAGAAATCCACGCAACTCATAATTTGTAAATAAGTGACTATAATTAACATAATGGCATCATATAATAATTAATAATAATAACATAATTTGTAATTATAACATTTTAAGTCTTTGATAACTTTGATTTATCAAAAACAAAGTATACTAATTCGTAATACGTATATATGTCATTTTCAAAAGTAACTCATATATTATTTATATGAATAATATAATTCCTATATACATATTAATTTTGAAATTTCAAAAGGTTTTTGATAAATTAAGCACTTCATTCGTTATTTTTTATTGTATATTAAATTTGAAGAAAAAATTTACATTCTATACAATGGCAAATCAAATGTTTACCAAATTCTATCAAAAACAAGTATTAGGAATAAGTAATAAAAATTATATTACCTAAGATATGCCAAAATATAAAAACATCCAATGAAAAACGTTTGGCTTTATTTTTATTTCTGTTGAAAAAATAATTAAAATTTTGGATAAAATTAAAAAAAAAAAAAAAAAAAAATCCTTCTGTCAAGTATGGAATGCTTTCGAAAGTGCTATTTTATTTGCTCTTGCAGATGAAAGACTACTTCTTAATTTCTTAAAATTAATTTAAATCTCAAATTATTATTAATGGCAAAATAAAGAATCCTTCCATTTACAAAACACATAGAAAAGAGCATTCAGAGCAGAAGAACACACATTCAGAATGGAAGCTGTTGACAGTTATGAATGAAGCAAATATCGCTATCTTTTTATCAACAACAAAACAAAACAAAAACGAAAGAAACAAAAAAAATGTCCAATAATTTACCAATTTTTGTTCCGTGGCTAAGATAATAATTTTGAATTGTTTACTGTAACTTTTAAAAGAAACGAAATTTATTTAATTGTCTTTCATTCATTCTTCAGATTTGTTCAGTATTTTTTAAATATCTGTGACTTTTATATTTTTTGTTATCACAACTCACATTTATGATTACAATATCTTATTTAAGCATCATAAGATAAACAAACAAATAAAACTTATCAGCATTTAAATGAGAAAGAACTTTAATTTTCATTAAATATGTGCTAAATAAATAGCGACAAAAAGTACAAAGAGTTATTATTAACCAGAGGTTTATTAAATGTGTTCACACTTACACGTGCGCCTAAGCATATCCAGAGATTTATAAAATTATAAAACATTTACAGAGAAAGAAAATAATATTCGTTCAAAACATCGCTGCACCGACATTTGTCACTGTAGAGATTATTTTTTCCGACTAACGGATGATTTAAAAGGAAGGACTGCGTGTTGCCAAATAGTAGAAAACAAATAACAGTAAAAGTTTAAAAAATAATTCAAATTAAAAACTTTAGTTGCTTTATATTCTTGCATATTCGCTTCCATGTGCTATTATTCTAGCGGATATTTTCTTCCGGCTAGTGGACGATTCATAAGGAAGAGACACAGTGTTGCCAAATGGCAGGAAACAAATAGCAGATTAAATGAAGAGGAAATACCACTTACCTGAAGAGAGACGATGCTGCACTCACCGCTAACGTAGCATCAACGCTGCGCAAGCCAATTTGCATGTGGGTCGGTGGTACGTCGACGGTCTCTTAGTGCTCGTTGGTGGCCCCCAGTAAAAATAGTACCGAAAATCTCTCGGAAATTAAGCGGAAAAGGTGGAAAAAAAGAGGGAAAACAAAATTACGGGATGTGTTTCTGTGCTCACGCTGCAAAAGACGCGCCTAAATAGTGTGAAATTCGGCACCCTCTCCGAGGTACGTACACTTTCCCATCTGGAATTGCACCCGGAGAGATGTTCGTTCGGGTTCGTCTCGGGGGTGCGCAAGTCCCCCTCCGGTCCCCCGCTATCGCCCCTCCCCTCCCACCCCATCTTCCTTCAGCAACTCTCGCAATCTCTCTCTCTTTCTCTCTCTTGCCGATTCTCCCCGAGCCGACTCTCCCTCCCTTCTAGTCTCCATGGTAACGCTTCATCGATTGCTTCCACGCTTCAATTTGGCTGACCAATGAAGCGTTCGCGCTTTGCGGGAGGGGGGGCTCCGTCCATCGGTAGCGGCTGCAGAGGGGGGCGGGGCTTTTTTCGCGGGGTGTGGAATGGAGGGATCGGCGGTGGGGGGAAGCAGGCAAGCCAGTCATACAGCCATAGACGTTGGGGACCTCCGTCGCACGGGTGTTTAAGGGTGAGGCGACTCGTCCCTCAACTACACGCGCCGAAGTCGCTCATGTTTAGCGCGACGGGATTTAAATTATATGGTTTGGTGGGTGTTTAGAGTAGCACATACACTTATAAGTGTCTGTTTTGACTGGTGGCTGGAGGGGAACGACAGGCCTCATTGCGCCTGAAGGCCCAGAGCCACCCCCTTCCAGCATTGATGTCTAATCCGATATTTTTGATCGCTCTCAAATGATCTCCGAATTATTTCACTCGAAGAGAACCAAAACACACGTTAAACAATGCAAAGGGCTTCGCGAAAACGGTTCAGCACATAACTCGTTTCTATGCACAGCTGGTTGGACGTTCATATTTAGTAGCCCTTGAAATCGCAGGTCAGTTCTTACAACTGGGAATTAAAAAACAGGAAGCTTTTTACATGAGCAATATAAACTTTAAACATATTTTATATGGCTTGGTAATTTCATAAATATCTTGATAGTTAGGCACCAATGTTTAAGCATAAATATGAACCTCGGTAAATATACGAAAGTAACCCAAAGAAGCCTTTTCGTAATTTATAAGGAATTCATCTTCTTCTTTTTCTTTGTTTTCTATATTAAATTTATATAAGCTTCGCTTTTATATTCGATCCTTACCTTGATTTCCATTTTCGTTTTTAAAATCAACTGCTGCTTGAGATAGGTTTTATATTTGGAATCTGCCCTTTATATTTGGAATGACATTTATCTATAAAGGCCAGCATAGGTAATTTTTCCTACACTCCGCACTGATATTAATCTGTTGAAACATAAAATAATTAAATCCTCATTTAAATTGTACTTCTTTTGAAGTCAAGGCAACATCACTTTGTAGCCAAATTTCTAGTTCTAGCTCTGTAAAGTCAATAGGAATTAGATCTACAGAACTGTTAGTTGATCAATGAGCTGCTAAATCTGCGAAACAATGTAGTGAACCATAAACCATAAAATTCAGTTCAAGAGCAATATCGCAAATTAATTTTAAAATGAGCATATTTTTAGAATTTCCGATACAGAGTCTCGAGCACTGGAGATATTTATTTTTTTTTTTCCCCCTTACAGTTTTGCCATCGCTCGCTTTGAAATCGTTTAGTTTTTTAATCAAAAATTCGTTGAAGTGTTACAAAATCTGAAATTGATAATAAAACAAATTTTAAATTTAAATTAGAGCTTCCACATGCCCATATTCTACAGAAGATTACATTATTCAAATTTTGATGGCTCTAGGAACCGTTGTTTTATCACAATGCGAGAAACATACATACATTTATTTCAGATTCTTCATTATTTAATTTCTTTAAATATAAGACATGGCGATAATATATAGTAGCAACGAATTGTAAAAGTGATACAGCCTTTTAAAGTTTTCGAAGCAAAATGCCAAAAGGAAATTAATAGTCCTTCAGAGCAAATTGCCCCTTTGAACTTACAAAAAAAAAAAAAAAAAATGATTGAAATTTGGTGTGTATTTAATTATTGCATAGCACACTAGGGTTATCTGCCTAAGAGGAGGGATGCCTTCGTGGAGGACTTTCTAAGGAAAACTGGCTAGTATACACGTTACACGTGGGGAACCACGAAAACGCCCATGCAGCCAGCCCGTTCGCGGGATTCGAACCTCGGACCGAACTACCAGTGGTCAGCGACTTTACCGCTCGGCCGCTGGTGGGCCCTGATTAAAATTTCGAAAATACTTTCTACATTACGATAAGCACTGGGTTATTTTTAAAGTTATAGGAGGCAGCACCTAATAAATAGGAACAATTACTTGCAGAAAGTATGTATGTGCTCATAGCCCCCTAAGCAGAGCTTGCAGTAAAATCGGAGTGATTATCAACGAAACATTTTTTTTTTTTTTTTTTTTTTTTTTTTTTTTTTTTACGAAGCGCAAAAATGAAGCGGGTAGAATACTTATTTTAAATAAAGAGACCTCTGGTAACTTCAAAATTTTTCAGGAAGGATTGTCGCAACTTTAGCGGGATCTATGCTAACTTTGATGGTTGATAGTATTCAACTTTCAAGGTCGACGAGAAATTACGTAAACTCATTCACGGACATGTGAATAGCTAAGAAGTTTAATAGTTAGAAGTCTGATCTATAGTTCAAACATCTTTAAAACGAATTACATAGAAAACTAACTTTTAGAATTCTAGTTTATTAAGCTTTAATAGTACTACTATGGAAATCTGTATATATCCTGTCCCTTTAAAATAGGAGAACATAAAGGTATTTCCTTCCGTTCCTAATTTGCCTCATCATCATTATCTCCACCGAAATTGTTTTTCTTATTTCATTTCAGTTTTCAGCTGAAGGTGACCTTATCCGTTTAAGATAACTAAATATTCTCTGAAAGTGAAAGTAAAGTGGATAAAGCGAATTTACGGAATGAAATCTCTTCAGCTATCATTATTACGAGAGAAACTAAACGTCATAAAAAATTTACTTACTAATTCATTGTCTACAATATATTAAAAGTTTGTTACGTTTTTCAAATGCTTAAAGGAAGCATTATTATTTTAAATTAGAGCTAAATATTTTCTGTCTTAAGCAAATGCTGTTGTTAAACAAATAATGTGTAAATACTTTCCTCTACCTTCGGTGTTGTAAAAATAAATTGTTCATCAGCAAAACAAAGGGAACCAATTTTAAAAGCCATTTTTCTCTGGACGTCTTAGCGACATTTTAAAACAACTGTTATTTTAACCACGAGTATCTGATATGAAATAGGATTTCTAATACTGTCTAAGTAAGTGAATGTAAAATTTCAAATTCCATTTCTTGTGCATAATATCATCTACATGAGAAATAAAATCTATCGCTAATGATGAAATTTTGCATTAGTAAAAAATATGAAAGCTTTCAGACTTTATATTATGCACAAAGGGGAGTTTTTTTCTTAACGTTTCGTTTGTTACCTTTATTTATTAAATACCATGTTCTTCGCACTTAGACCATAAAATCAATTCAACAGCAATATCACTAAATATTTAAAAAGAGCATATCTTATGAATATTCGATACGCAGTCTCGCGCTCTGTGGATAAAAATACTTCTCCCCCCCCGTACAATATTGCCTTTGCTCGCTTTGAAGTCGTTGATTTGTTAATCAAAAACTCCTCAAAGTTTTACAAAATACGAAATAGATAATAAAACAAATTCCAAATTTGGGCTTTCAGATGCTCATATTCGAGTGGAGGACTACGTTATTCAAAATTTGATGTCTCTAGGTACCATTGTTCTTTCACGGTGAGTAAACCTACATACATTCATGCAGATTCTTCATTATTTAATTTCTTTAAATATGATGCAGAGCTCTAATATTTGGTGGCAACAATTCCAAAAGTGAAATGCCGTTTATACTGAACGACTCAAAAAACCAAAATGAAATAAATAATGCTTCTGGGCAATTTGTTCCTTTGTGCTATTAATAAGTAGACAATCATCCTTTTATATATTTCTTTTAATTTTGTAACGAACCATACTTTTTAATATTTGTGACATTTTTTTTATTTGTTCTGTTTTTATAGAGAGAGGGAAAAGCTGTAGACACGAATGTTAGACTTTCAAAAATGGAAATTCCTTTTGTGTTGAGCTTTAGTTTTATTCAATACAGAAATTTTATTTTACGGCTTGGCATCAATAGATTGTACTTTTATCTAATAAAAAAAAGCGAAATCGCTTTAGGTTAGTTTACTTTTTAATATTTCTTTAATTTTTAATAATGTTTAACAGTAGACGCTTTTTCGAGATGTTAGAGTGCAGTTTGGAGATTTTAGGATTGCAGTTTAATTCGTATGCACTCTGCTGTTGGCGATGCACAGACAAACCAATAAACGCATAATCTGTGCACGTGGGGTAATTTAGAATTCAGCTTATCAATTACTTCCACTCAGACTAGTTGAAGTTTGCTCTAATTGAGGCTGTTTCCGAAACTCTCAGACAATAAATGAAAAATATTCCAAAATACGGAAGTTGGATATTATTTCCTTAACCATTTTTTTAATTTAATCATTTATATATAGATTGGGCTGAAAAATTATCTTTTTTAACAAAAATTAAGAATTGTAAATAAAATTTAATTTTTAAATATGCATTTTTTTACATATTTTATATATTTTGTTACACTCGTAAGATATTTTATAAATAGAAATCCTAAAAGGATTAACGTTGTATATTTTCGAAGTGCAGCCTTTAATTAGCTCTTAACCAGACAACTTTTCCAGTACATGTATGTTAAGACAATTGCATGAAAACTATACAGACATTAACAGTACAGACTTAGTATAGCAAAATAAGTTAAGATTAATTACATCTTAATATTTATATTGGAGAAGATGAGAATCGGAGAAAATATTAATTGTGTTTTTCTCATGTGAACAGAAATGCATAAATAATTTTATTATTTTTGGAACACATTATTTTTTTACCCCGTAATGTATAGATTCCAGCCTTCCATGCATGCAATTAATTATATTCAAAAATAGATATCAGGAAAACCCTGTACGTACAAGGTGCTCTTCAAATTTTTTACGTACGCTGTCGCTCAAAATGGATGTGTGAGGAACCTTAAGTTAATTTACAAAATCCCCGCGCCAATTTTTCCACGGAGGTATCGTTCCCAATACGAA